CTTTGTTGATGGTTTTAAAGGTGCCTCAACTAAACCACCAAACACTGCACCTTTACGATCTCCAACCACCTGAAAATGTTTAATCAAGTTTCAGTTAAAGGGTAAAGTTGACATTTTGAATAGTTACTGAAGACAAGACATTACCAGCAGACTTAACCCTGGGCAAAGATTGCTTCTTCTATATAAGGTTGAAAGAGATATGCCATGCCTCCATGTACTAACATATAAAAAAGATAATGATATATCAAGATTCAAGAATAATGTGAAACTGAAAATATGAAGAAGATGAAGTTTTACCTGTATAGTAAAACCCATTTCTTTCCTTGACTGAGAACAGGGAGTGCAACATAAAGATCAGAACGTGTATTTTCTGTCATAAGTTGTGAAGGTTCTGACATTTTTGGAAGTTTATCAGAAGGAAAAGATGCGATCACATTTTGTACAGGAACCCCATCATTGGTGTCAAATTGGGAGCTTGTTTCTTTCATGTCATCAGTCTTTGATTCAGTGTTTACTTTCCCAGATGCATGAGATCGATACCCACTAAACCTAGCAGCTTGTGAAAGAGCCTTGCTGAGTGACTGTTTGCCCTTAGAGAATAGACCTTTTTTTCCATTGTTTTCTTTTGAAACGTTTGGGGATGATGTGTCATTTCTGTAGCTAGTTACCACTTGGTTGTCGTTCCATTCTGAATACTCAGACTCGTTTTCTGATCTTCCTGGGGACAAGAATGAGTAGAGAAATGCGGTGAAGGAGGAAGTATCTGGCCCATCAACCAAGACTGGAACATCTTCTTCTTGATTACATTGTTGTGTGTTTCTCCTTGGCTCATTACTCACATCTCCCTAACAAAAACGAAGGAATCCCATTACTAAACCCTAATCCTAAAGTGTATTGGTTCGTCCACAGAGATTAGATTTCATGAAGATGAAAACTCAAGTTAAGTTGCACATAAATAGAAGGAGATAAACCGTAAGATTAAAAGGTCAAAGAATTGCACAAAAGGTCATATCAGAAATAGAATTTCAAATTGATGATCAGGAATTGAACTAAACTTGATCGAACTTTTTTATTATTGAAAAAAAAAATTAAAGTACTTCAACGGATCCAAAGAAGAATTTGGGAGAGGGCAAACAACTTACAGAACGAGGAGAGGAATTCGATGAGGGTTTATCAGATATTGGATTAAGAAGAACGGTGGTAAGATCAGACACAAAATGGGCCGCCTTACTTCTTATTGATGTTGTTGAACGCTGATGTTCTTGTTGCTTTCCCAGTTTCATCCTTTGTTGTTGCTAGGATTGTAGTCAAGAGCTATGTCCGCGGTTTCTTCAGCTATCTGTGTTGAAATTCAGATGAATCCCCATGTTTTCAGGCAACAGATAGAAGGGTGTTAAAGAAGAAGCGGTAGACAATTGGAGCTGGTGGAGTTGGTCGCGATGCGTAAGTTGTAAGGAAGACGAAGAAGTCGGTCTTCTCTTCTTCAAAGCAAATTCGCCGATGAGAATTGAGAAATGTCCTAAAATAATTCGGAACAGTAATGGATGATAAAAAGTCGGAATCAATTTGGTTGGTTTGCCTAGCTAATTTTGTTTTTTATTTTTTGTTTTTTTCTTTTTCTCCTAAAATAATCATAAACTCTCTAATCTACAAATTATATATTTATGTCAACCATTTGAAAGTATCGGGCATTGTATCAACAACAAGAACATTATTGTACAAAAGGACTTCTAATGAATTGATATTAGGTGTTATCATTTCTAATGCATTGGTATTAGGTGTTATCTTTTTTTTAAACTGTATTAGTTGTTCTTAGTTTTTTTAAAATTTTGGGAGTTCAAAACTCGTCTAGAACATAAGTGAAATAAGAGTAATTTATGAGTCGATGTTGTTTGTTGTACCATGTTATGACATATTTGGAGGTAACGAAATGATAAAGTTTTTTAAGACGGAAAGTTGAGAAAATATACCATTTTTTATTCTATTAGAGAATTTTTATTTTTTTGGGTTAGTAATAAATTTAGAAAAATTGTTTTTCTTTGGAATGGTAAGATGCAATTTCTGTTAAACAATTTGTAATTTCCCTTTTGGCTCTCTAGTTCCTTGCTAGAGTTTCTTTTGAATATATGTGTAACGTCCAAAAAAATTAAAATCAAAAATTTTGTTTTTATATTAAATAAACATAAACCAAACATGATAATCAAACCCATAAGAAAGTCATAGTGTATCAATAATCATCCAAAATACATCAGAGTCAATAACGCAGAAAAATCATGGTGTGTGCGATGCGATCATCCCGAGCTCTTCCCCTTCGAATCGGCTGAAAATCGTAAACTCAAGGCTTACTGAGTTTCCCAAAATATCTCATACCATACATATAATGGGCCTTGCCCGACAACCATCGGGCCCCGTCCGGTATCGAACCTCGCCCGAAACAGATATGTCAATAACATGCGATGGGCCCCGCCCAATACACTCATCAGGCTTCGCCTGGCATTGGGCCCCGCCCGGTATGCATACAACACATGCAAGAGTCACAAAGACAACTAGCATACAAATAACAATAATCCATGGGCCGGCATTGGTGCCTTCGACCCGCCAAACACTGGGAGGAGACTCATCTCAAACTGTTGAAAAATCAGATAAATGCTCAGACTGCTAATTCGGGAAATCTCCGCACTATATATGATCAAATAATACCCTAATTAATAATTAGGTTATAAACCATAACTGAGAGTCCAAACCCATAATCCCGACTCTTAGGGTAAAAGACTATTTTACCCCCCCCCCTCAAAGCTAAACTCATACAATCAAGGCCCAAAAAGCAACCTAGGCCCACAGTAAGCGGTATGTCATGCGTACCTGGCCTGTACGCCCCACGTACTCGAGTGACCGCCACGGGCTTCAGACCCAGTACGCGCAGCGTACTCAAGAGTACGCCCGGCGTACTGGTCAGTGCCCCAAATCCTCTTCCAATGTCTTAATCCCTTAAGATCTTAACGTCCAAACCTCAAATCTACATATAAATAAGGTATTATTCCATAAAGTTGGCGACTTTACTCACTTGCATGTCTTAATGGGACCCAACACTAAATCTTAGGTCCAAAACTTCATAAAACGGCCAACAACTAAAACATGGATGAACTTTAAATTTCAAGATTCGATTTCTATGGCTCCATGCACTCTTAAATGCTCAAAATGACAGCTCAAATGGTCTGGAGTAGTCTATACTCCATAAGACCAAGGTTTTGGGACAATAAAGTGCATAAACATGAACATAATGAGATCTAGAACAAATAGCTCCAAGGTGTGAACTTGATACCTTCTAAAGATGCACAAGAAGGTGTAGAAGCTGGATCCAAGGGCTTGAATGCACCACTCCTTCTTCAAGAAGCTTCCTTCACCACCAAGAACTACCAAAAAACACCACAAGATCACTATAAGGCTCAAGAACACTCAATAGAGGGTTAGGGTTTCGTGGGATATCTTCTAGGGTAAGGAGACTGATGAGAGGAAAGGTTTGGAGTCTATAATGATGCTTAAATAGGGTCCAAACCTTAAAAATTAGGGTTTGTCCGTGGACAACGTACGCCCCGCAAATAACTCTAGGTAATGCTCCATCATCTCGTCCTCAGGATCTCATGTCCACTCTGAACCCTTTCGATGTTGCCACTGCACCTTCACGAGATCCACAACCTTGTTTCACATAGTCTCCATCCTCCTGTCAAGGATCGCTACTAGTCTCTCTATATAATTCAGGCGATCATCCACCTGAATGTCCTCCAATGAAACCACTGCAGAATCATCAATCAAACATTTCCGTAGTTGAGAGACATGAAAAGTACTATGGATCTGACTGAGCTCCTCCGGAAGATCCAGACGATACACAACCCTGCCCACCCGAGCTATCACCCTGAAAGGACCAATATACATGGGGCCTAGCTTACCCCGCTTCCTTAATCGGATGACACATTTCCAAGGTGACACCTTCATGAGTACCATGTCTCTAACCTGACACTCTAAGTCTGACCGGCGTCTATCTGCGTAACTCTTTTGTCGGCTCTGCACTGTATGAAGTCTGTCGCGAACCTGTTGAATCAATTTCGTCATTTTAAGTACCACCTCCATACTCCCCATGCACTACAAGAAAAAGTCGATATAGCCACGGAAAAACTCTGTAGCTAAAACATGATATTCTATAGTTAAACATGATTAGCGACATAATTTGCTACAAACAATTCCGTAGTTAAATTCTTCGTTAGTAAACTTTCGTTACGGAATCCGTAGCACCTTTGCAACGGAAGTTGCAGCGGACTTATTCCGTAGTAAAATAGTTACGGACTACATCCGTAGAAACATCGTAAAAAATTAACTACAGTTTTATCCGTAGCAAGTCCATAGCGAATTAACTACGCTCCGATCCATAGTAAATCTGTCGCAAGTTAACTACAAACTAACTTCGTAGCTAGTTTCCGTAGCAAAAATCCACTATGGTTAATGACGTAGCTAATACCCCATAGTAAACTTAGTACGACTTAATTCCATAGCAAATATTTTGTAGTAAATTCACTACGCTCTACTTCCATAGCAAATATCTTGTAGTAACATTACTATAACACACCTCTCTTAGAAATGTTTTATAGTAAATTTACCACAGTCTACCTCCATTGCAAACTAAATGTGACGGAATATATTCCGTAACAAAATCCACAACAACTCCATAAAAAGATACACAGTAACTCCGTAAAAATAAAAATAGAAAAAATTTATGACATGATTAATTCTGTATCAAAATGCATACAAAATGACTAAAAAAATTCCGAAGCAAATTTATAATAAAATCAACATTACGAAATTGCAATAAGAAATAATAAAAATTACATAAATTCTTAATAAAAAGAAATAGTTTATCATCGAATGAAATGCTACATTGTCCAAAACATCAATAAAACTAGTCTAGTAGCCAAACTCAACTAGAAATCCTAAATATGCAATAAAAAAATCTGTCACTGGTTATTTGTGCTTCTTATATCATTTATCATGTTTCTCACATTATTCAAGTCCATCCTTTGTTGCTCTATGGTTTCCTCTATAGTTTCTGGATCTTGGTCTCAAGATGATGTTTTTCACAAGTTGTATCCGGTGAAGTGCATGTTTGAGAAGAATTTTCACGAAAAATGGACATGTCATATGATCCAAGCCCATAAATTCTTCTCTTACGGTCATGTCCTCTGACAACTGTATAAAATAGTTCACTTTCATCAACTTCCTCTCCCAGCAGTGCCAAATCCGCATGTCGTGACACAAACAAATCCTACAATGTTATTGTTGCATTAATATATAATAAGATTTTTTAAGTTCTGATTATCAAATAAATTAAAATTAAGCTTACATGAACTTCTTTAGCTTTGTCAACTTGAAACGTCTTTCCATCATGATCCTTAGTATGAGTAAACATGAATACATCATAGCATGATGGAGCTTGTCCCGTATATTCCTCCTACGTTAATACAATACGTATGCCAAATCTCACCACAAGATGTATTGAAAGAAATATATTATATGACTATTAAAAACCCTTACCATGTCGGCTGCAATTTGTTGATGTGAAGCCGATCCGCCATTATGAGTAGGAGGGGCTTTTCCACCTAGTACACCTTTACGTCTATTTTTTTATTTTGCTCTGATTTTTTCTTGAACTCCTCCGAATTCCATATTGCATTCCATGAATTCCACACTTGTTGTTCTATGTGGCATGGCTTTTCACGAGTCGGATTTCTTGTGCTGATGTCATAGATATACTGTCGATATCTTTCTTTGGCTTTCTGTTCCCAAGCAGCCTTGACTACTGAGTCACCAACTACAGCATCCCACTGATATTTTTTCTACAATACATAACAACAATGGAGTTATAATAACCGAACTATATGCCTAAAAATTACATAAAATCAATATAACAAATCATGTACCTGAAACTCTTCCCAATAAAATTGTTTTATCTCTTCGCTTATTGTTACCCACTTATATCCATTTTCATCCACTTTATCTAGGAATGATTTCTTAATTATGGTTGAACATTTACCTAAAGGTAATAACCTATAAAAAAAATAGCATAATAGTATGAACAAATCAAACTTAAACAAAAAAAAAGATGAAAATCAGTTAGTATGGTAACTTACGCATTCTCTCGAACTTTAATATGTATGCGTCCATCTTGTTGTTCGGTAGAAATTGGTGTCGATGGGGTTTCTGTAGAGGAAGGGGCAGAAGATGGGGGTTGTGTGGATGATGGGGCTGATACAGTACCAAACAGTGGGGGAGTAGATGGTGTATGTGTGGATGCAGGGGTAGATGATAGGATTGTTGTGGAGGCAGGGGCAGACGATGGGGCTGGTGTGGATGAAGGGGTTGATACACTTCCAAATGGTGGAGAGGTAGATGTTGTCGGTGTGGATGTAGGGGTAACCAAAGGGGATATTACAGTACCAGATGGTGTAGATGCTTCATTAGCATGCCTTTGTAACAGACGATGCATGTTGTGCGTGGCCTCGTTGGAGCTCCTTTTAATGGGAATGGAGACATCTTTTCTGTAATATAGCAAGTGCATTAGAAATACAAAATTATAAGTTTGAGATATATTCATTAATAATAAAAACTCTTGCATGAAATTAAAAAAACATGGTACCAATAAAATTCATAATCAGAATTAGTTTACATATTCAGTTTACACGAATGCATAAGGTCCTAAGGTTACTATTGAACTAATCAGATTATAAGCATCATTCCATTACATTTCACGATTATAAACATATACAGAGTGACAAACCCACAAAGGGGTGACAACTTGCACACTGTTACCAGAAAGGAGCTAACTGATATTACAACCCCTGTCAAGCGTATAAGATGATAGAAAAAAGGAAGGGGCAAGATCGATCTATATTGTTATTAAGAAATACAAGTGTACCCATAAAAAACATACGTAAGGAATCATATAAGATGATCTAGGGAAAAACAAAACAGAAGAAAAACGATGTTATAATTCGTTATGGTCTTTTTTAACATTTGAAAGTCGATGGTTGATATTGTTTTTTAAAAAAAAAACATGTGGTTGTAAATAAAGGTCTAAACGATTTTGGTCCATTGCTTAATTTTGTTTTTGATAGCTAAAGAAGATGATCAGTGAAGAATATAAAAGCGGAAAAAAAAACATACATGCTATCACAAGGCCTGGAAGCACCGAACAGTGGAAGCAGAGGAAACACAACAAAGGACGTATAGATGAATAGTGAAATTCTCCTTTGCGTGGGCAAGTTATGCCTACGTAATGGGGGAGCGGTTTTGACGGGAGTGGATATAGGGAATTCTGTTTTCCCGGGAGTGGGATACGGAAATAAATTTTTTTGAATATTTTGGAAGATTTGTTTTGCCGGGTGTTGAGATGGGAAATTCAAAAGTATATATTATTTTTCACTAATGTACAATAAGTGAGAGAAGATATATATGGGACAAGTAATTTACGTAGGTTAGATATATATGGAAAGGATTTCACATATATAATGAATATGTCAACTGGTCAAATCTTAGGTGTAGGGTAATTTCGTCCATTTTGGAAAATAAAAGATTATTGTGGGATAGTTGACTTTTATTGGAGTAGTTGCATTTTTCTTGTTTTGGGAGATTGGAAATATGGTATACTGAGATTGATAAAGGCAGGAAATGGAATTTTATGTTTGGGTTCTCTTTAATCAACTGCCATCGACTTTTGAAGCAGGGGCAACTTTCATTAATGTTTGGAGACTTTTTGAAAGTTACATTTGTTTTGAGGCTTTTTGAAAGTTGAAACATGTAGCATCTGTTTCATCTAGCATCTGTTATGGTGATAATTTGCAGTATTAAAAGTTCTGGAAAAATAACAGCTTAACATTTTCGTGTTCGTTTATATTCCCAATGAAAGGATAGTTAGATTGAAGATAACTAATTACAACATACTTTATTATTTAATTAATCAAATTCTAGATAAGCAAGGGTGATGTTAAGGGGCGATGTTCACTGCAAGATTTTTAACAACCAAATATAAGAACCTAAACAATTGATTCAATTTTGTAAATTAGATTTTCAAAGTTTGCAATCAAACAAAACACAAAAATTAAACAAAAGTTTCTACGATATAATATAATGAGAAAGTGACAAAGCTTAATTACTATCTTAGGTCTCGATGGTTTTGTGTGTTATAAGAATTTGATTTTACACAAAAGATTTTGAAATCAATCAACAAGAACTAGGTCGAATAGAACAGAATAAAGAAACGAAAAACTTACTATGTCGGTGCTCAGTGCTCGGGTATGCGATTCGATTTGATAGAAACCGGAAATTTGAGGTCTCTTTTATTTATTAAGAGGTTAACGGTGGTAGTGATGGTGGTCGACGCGGGAGGTTAACAGTGATGATCGATGCGCAAATTACCATAAAGTTGGGTATCAACCCTGAAATATCAAAAACGGCCAAATAAGATTTAGATTTGTTAAAATCTTTTTTTTTTATAATATAGGCACATGTCTACTATTTAGGTTTAAAAACATTATTATTATTATTATTATTATTATTGTTATTATATATTATTTAAATTGTAAACAAAATTATATTTGTATAGCAATTTCCAATTTAGTTTAAGCAAAATTCAATTCAAATTTGGGTCCGGGGAGTGGGTGTACCGGATCTAGGTAAACCGGATATTTTACCCGGAATTGAGTAAAATAATTGGACTTGTTAATCGGGCCAGAACCATTAATCGGGCCAGAACCAGGTTTAAGAAAGACACAAAATTGATAGAGTTTTTGTTATGGTACGTTCAGGCAACCTATTAGCCATCGGATACCCACAAAAAAATATCTCAAAGAAATCTTCACTATGATCAACGAAGATGACTTTTTGTTCCTAAAAACCAATACACTGCCGTTAATTCAACATAAGACTTTTAGGAACTAGAATAAGAACATGGATTGAAGTAAAAGATAGTAAATCATAAGCCTCTTATGAAATTTCTTTAGAATACCTCCAACACTTAAAAACTTTATTGGAAAATTTAGTACAATAATAGTTATGGATTTTTATGTTATATTGAATAACTAAAATTTTGATTCTGTAGCAAACATTGTATCAAGTTGGGTACAAACATTGATCTATAGAAAAAGTTCATAGAAAACTAGCTATGGATTTTGATTTTGTAGCAAATTTGTAGCTAGATAACTATGGCCTTCAGTTCTGTAGCAATTTTGTAGTAAACTAGTTATGGATTATGATTTCGTAGCAAATTTTGTATCAAAATAACTACGGACTATTACTCGTAGTAACTTCTGTAGCGAAATAGCTACATATTATGATTTTGTAGCAAATTCCGTTACAATCTACCTACGACTTCTGATTCTGTAGCAAAATTCCGTAGTTATTCAACTATTACCTACGGAATGCAATTTTGTAGCAAATTTTGTAGAAAAATTACTACGGATAGCCATTTCGTAGCATATTCCATAGCAAAATAGCTACGGATTCTACTTCCGTAGCAGATTTTCGTAGTTATTTAGCATTTTTCTAATAGTGATGACCCGATGGCCGACCTCACTTTAACATATCGGGGCCTACACTTTCTCCCATAGAGCATCTCAAAAGGAGGTCGATCAATGCTGGCGTGATAACTGTTGTTATACAAAAAATCCGCCAAAGGAAGATACGTATCCCAACTACCCCCAAAATCCAGTGCACATGTTCGCAACATGTCCTACAGTGTTTGGATAGTCCGCTCATTCTGACCATCAGTCTGTGGGTGGAAAGTCGTGATGAAGTGCAGATGAGTACCCAACTCCTCATGGAATCTCTTCCATAACCTGGAAATGACCCAAAACATCCCTATCAGACACCACAGAAACCGGCACCCCATATTAGGGATGTTATTCATGTCGGAACAGGACCGAACCAACCCGGACCCGAATAACCCGGAAATCGAATAAGGGTAATTGCATGAACCGAAAACCGAACCGATTAACCAATACGGGTACGGTTCGGTTCGGGTATAAATCGGTTCAGTTCGGTTATTACCCAAAATAACCCGAATAACATGTACAAGATGATTAAGGACCTAATATAACCGAAAAAAACTGAATAAACCGTATTAGGATTCTATAACCCGATTAATAGAATAACAATGTGTTTTTATACATCAACATAAACCATTTAAAGAATAACATAACACAATAACACATTGAAAGAATAACGTTTACATAGCAGATTACCATAATGAGAATTAATTTCTTACTTGAGTTTCTTGAGTTGGAGCCCAATTTTCCATGACTAGACAAAGTAGGAATTCATGAATCCTTAGAGACAATAGGAAGGATTGATTTTTAAAAGTTTGAAACAAAAGAAAGGATCGAAAAAAGTGATTTTAAGTTTGGAAATAGACGAGAAGATTGGTCCATTTTGAAATGACAAGAACGAGCGTAGGAGTTTTTTTCTATTATGAACGACGAGGACAGAAGTGTGAATCGTGATTTTGATTTCTTTCGATTTGAGAAAGGGGAGGGGGAATGCTTATTTGGTTCGGGTATTTAGAACTGAATAAGCTCTTATTTGGGTAACCCGAGAACCGAATAAGCATAACAAAGATACCCAAAACCCGAAGCAAATTGCTTATTCGGGCCTAATTCGGTTCGGTTCGGTTCAGGTTTCGGTTCGATTCGGGTTTTCGGGCCAAATTCTCATCCCTACCTCATATCGTGCCACCACTTTCCGAATGTAGATATCGGCCAGCTTCTCCACCGAAATACTCTCCTGGATCGAATCCATTATGCGCGTCGTCCGATGCAATTTGGTGATAAAATCCATCGTAATCTATTCCCATTTCCAAATGGGGACTTCCAACGGCTCCATTTTGCAGTGAGGTTGCTGATGCTTAGACTTGACTTTTCTGCAAGTCAAACACCTCTCCACATACTAGTACATGTCTTGCTTCATACATGGCCACTAATAGTCAAGTCGGAGATCTCTATACATCTTTGTCGCTTCGGGATGAATAAAGAATCTTGACGTACGCCTCCTCCATCAGAACCTGACGCCCACCACCCCAATAGGGAACCCACACCCTCTGCTGAAGGGTCAATAATCCCGAGATATCATAATCAAATGAATCCACCTGATCCACTATGCGCTCACTCTTCCGGTGCTCTTCCTTCATAGCCTCCATCTGAGCCTCTCGAATCTGCTCTAAGAGTGGAGTAATCACTGTCATCCTCAAACATAAATCTTTGATCGGGGTAGCAACCGCCTTACGGATGAAAGCATCGACCACTACGTTGGCCTTCCTTGGGTGATAAAGGATCTCACATTCATAATCTTTCACCACATCCAACCATCTACACTACCTCATGTTCAGATTCGGCCGATCCATCAGATACCTTAGACTCTTGTGATTCGCGTAAATAGTACAACAGACCCTATAAAGGTAATGTCACCAAATCTTGAGGGCGAAAACCACCGCCCCAATTCCAAATCATGCGTAGGATAATTCGCTTCATGAGGCTTCAGCTGCCTCGGAGCGTAAGCGACCACATGACC